ACGGGAGAGCACTACCACGGGGGAGCATCATGACGAGGGGAGCATCATGATGAGGGGAGCACCATTAAGGGGGAGCACCACCATGGGGGAACACCATCACGGGGGAGCACCATGCTGGGGCGGGCAGCATGAATGGGGTTTCCTCCCAGCTCTGAGGTCCTTTTGGGAGATGCCAGAATTCAGCATAAAAGGATTCTCCTTGAGGCGGTGTCTGAACTACAGGCTCACGCTAGGGTCTGCCTCAGAGCCCCCGTGGCCAGGGATGAGCCAGAGCCCCCTCTGCCCACTGGACTGCTGCAGACTCTCCAGCTCCTCCTCCCTCCTTTATCTGGGCTCTCCTGCTGCTTTGAAGGATTTTCAGATCAAAGTCGGAGCCACTCTCCTGGGTCTAATCCTGTTGCCTGTGACCTTGTTTCCTGAGTGTCCTTCACAAAGAAGGCCTTCAGCAAAGACTTTCTCCCTCAGCCCAGCACATGGTCCTCTCTTCTGAGAGCTTTCCGCCAGCCCTGGGGACGGACCGGGTAGCACAGAAGCGTTTTCGTGCAGGCGAGTGCCCAGGATACTCAGCCAGTCCTTGGAAAGCGTTGAGATGCGCCACCTCCACACCCTCATCTCGCTTTCCGCTTCATCCTTTCCTTCTGAAACACCATCTCCCCTCTGCGTCCTAAGAGCTGGTGTCTTTTTTGTACTTTCCTGATCCTGGGAGAGGCCTTCTCCAAGCCAAGGAAATGTTCTTCCTTCAGCTAAGAATGTAAGATCCAGGATCCATTAGCGAGTCGAGCACTGAGCCTTAAAATACTTGAAATCACCCAAGGGAAGCATAGTCCAGTGGATCAGAGGGTCCAGGAGGGCTAGAGACACCAGCAGGGACGTAGCCGACGTGGCGGGGGTGCCAGAGCTCAGCTGGGCCTGGCTCTCCGTGAGGCCAGGAGGAGCCTTCTCCGCTGAGGTGGTGTTTGGAGACCCGTTGACAGCCCTGACCTCTTCTCCCAGGGAAATCTCTGCCTGCCCTTAGAAGCCTGGCCATCTTCCTCCCTCCTGCATGTTATTTCCAGCATTTGGAGGGGCCACTTGCGGGCAGGGAGAAGAGGGACCTGGGATGGAAGGCTCTGTGTGCTCTTGAAAGGCACGTGGAGCCGCTTGGCGTTTCTTTGCCAGTCTTCAACAGCTGGATGGGAGACCCGTCCTCCCTAAGAACCACACACGCGGGTGCACCGACACCCACCCACACACACTCTTTTCCCCAGCAGCTCAAGGTCCACCCAGGCCCACTGAAGCGAGACTGCAGAAGTTGCCTGATCACCCAGAGAGCTCTTTAAAACACCTACTCCCCGCCTCCGTCCCTGAGACCTGGGGAGGCCATTCTGCCACCGACTGAGAATCCCACTGACGTTGGGCCCAGTGGTGCTGTTCGCTGGGCCAGGGGCAGCTTGGTGGAGAGGGCTTCCTGCCTGCCCCGGGGTGTGGGGTGTCAATCACGTAGGACACCACTGGAGAGCAGAGCTAGGGCCAGGAGTGGGGGGACGTGGAGGGACCAGAAGCCCTTCTGGGGTAGCATGGCACCTGGCAGAGCCCTCCTCCTCCCACAGCCACTGTGCCTCCTGGTTATTTCCATGGCCCTGTTTCTGGCCCACATTAGTCACCCACTGTAATGACTGCTTTGATGAGACCTACAAATGATTTCACAAGAGCCTTGTAAAAATAAATGGTGGTACAAGGCCCAGCCTGTCAGAAAGATGAAGCAGACGAGAGCAAATCAAGGTCAGGCCAAGCTCAGGCCAAGCTCAGGCCTGGTCAGACCTGGGGCCACAGGCTATGGTGGACCCCTTGCTTCCAAAAATTGAGAGGGCTTGTGCCTCCCTGTCTTCACGCTGGAGAAGAGAGTGTTGTCACCACTGCTCAGGCCTGGGCAGGACCCAGGCTTGTCATACAGATCACTGGGATCCACCCCCGGAGCATGGGTCAGCAGATCTGGAGTGGGCCTGGCCAGGGATCTGCTTTTTAAATAAGCTTCTGCTGGGGCGGGCTGCTGCTGGCCCAGGAGCCTGGTTCGAGAGACATCTAAAGTAATCTCAGAATGGCTGGGCGTCATTTTGACCAAGGACCACCCTGGGGCAATTCCAGGAAGGTGAGTTGCTCCCAGCCAGGACACAGGTACAGTGAGGCATTGCCACCTCACCCCTCCTGTCAGCCACAGAAATGCAGGTGGCTGGTAGTGCCACTTACAAAGTCACTCCAGCTGCATTTATCTGTGCTTGTCCCTTGCTCCGAAAACGTCAGTCAGGGCTCCTGTTGGAGAGGTTCACCTTTCCCCACCTTTGCCAGGTGAGCAGTCCCGACAGGGGCCATGAGCAGTGCCCACTCGGCCTGAGCAGCCTCACCCTGCAGCAGGCTGGGCTGTGATCTCACTGTGTCCCTCTCTCTTTTCTCTCCTCCCGACCCCTCCTTCCACGTCCTTTACCTCCACCCCCACCCCTACCTTCACCCCCACCCCCACCCCAAACAGTGCACTCCCAGAAACAGAACCGGCAGACCTGCGTCCGGAAGAGCCTCATCTGCGCCTTCGCCATGGCCTTCATCATCAGCGTCATGCTGATCGCAGCCAATCAGATCCTCCGGAGCGGCATGGAGTAGCCTCCCGCCAGCCTTCCAGCCGCCAGCTCACCGCGCATGTGCATGCCCGCGGGCGGACTCTTCCTGCGCTCCGCAGATCTGGACCTGTGGCTGATGCATTGATGGTACCCTTCAGGAAAGAGCCCCAGGTTGCAGGGCAACCGGGATTGCAAACCCACTCCATCTCCTTGGCAGGGACACACAAGGGCTGTCTTCAACGCTTTAATGGTTTTGTTTCCTAATGCAATAAATAGCCAGGAGTTCCGAGTTATTGCTTCAACCGCCAGTAGTGACTCTGGAGATAAACTTCATTCCCATCTCGGAATTCCAGTGGCCATCCAGGTGTAACGGTGGCGGCGAGAGCTAGAGGAGAGAGGCGCGAGCCGCGGTCACCTCCATCCACACCCCCTTCTTCCAACCCGGGGCCCAGAGCCTCGGGCTGAGGTGGACCCTCAGCCCCAGGAGGCTGCCTTCTGGGTTGCTACAGAAGAGGGGACTTTCCACCTTGCCCTGGTTCCTCTCTCCACCCGTGGAGACCCCCCAAGGCGTGAGGGGAAAGCCATTGACAGGGTGCAGCCCTGGCTGCCGCCGCTGCACCCCCCTGCTTCCGTTCCTACTGCCTTTCCTACAGGACGTGGGGAGAGCTGGGCGCTCTCATCGGTTTCCGTGGCACTTGGCCTTCTGTTCCTAGAGCCCACCCCGCACCAGCATTTTGGAATCTGCAGAGAGCCCTGATCCCAGCTTTGCCGCCTGTGCTGTCCTTAAAGAAAAAGAACCACGAATCACGGGCGTCTCAACACCCGGACGTGTGGACAGGGACGGCTGCTTCCCGTGCAAGACTCTCCTGGCCCCTTGTCCACGTAATCGCGTCCTCCCCTCCCACACTCACCCCTGCTTCTTGGCAGGGGCAAGGCCAACAGCGGGAGGGGAGAGACGAGACTGGTGCAGAGGTCTCGCAGCGCCCACCCTCGATGTCTGGCCTAGCAGCCCCTCCAGGTTCCCAGGCTAGACCCCTCTGTAGGTTCAGGTCACCTGCATCTTTCCCGTCCTCATCTTCAACTTGCTTCATTAAGTCTTCCCCAGCTAAAGAAGAGAAATCTGATCCTAAGCAGGATGATGGGCAGAGGGAGCCACGGACATCCTGGCTTTCAGACTCGCAGCTGATTCACACGAACACGTCGGTGCGCTTGGCCACTGCAGCAGGCATTCACTCCTGCCTGCAGAGCACTTCTGCTGGGAAGGGACCTAATCCCAATGGTCAGGTGGGCACCCTCCCAGCTGCCTCTGTCAGCTCCAGCTTGCAGTCAGAGTGGCCAGTGGCCCTGGACGTGCTGTCCCTGTGTATGTTTCTGGCTCAGGTCTGTATTTCTGTAATGCAATTGTCTGGCTCCAGGGCACCAGCTCCGGTCCCCTTCCCTCCAGGACTGGGGCGGGGTGTCTCCTCTCCCAAGGCAGGGGTGGGTGCTGTGGTGCCGCCCATGTCCCCCGGGCCTTCCCTCTGCTTTCTCCCTGCTGCCTTCTTAGATGTGGAGCACCCACGGTCTCCACTAGGGTCTTTGTCCGACTCAGCTCTGTACCGTGGGGCGGCTGTAGAAACCCTCGCACCGCGGAGAGCTGCACATTCACAATGAGCACAAGTCACACTAGGGTTTGAGCCATAGAAAGACGGAGCAGATCTAAGCTCCCAGGAGCCCAGGGGGTGACATCCTCGTCAAACTCCCTGGCATCTGGCACATCCAGGCCGGGCTAAGGGCAGCAGCCTGCTTGCCACTGCCCTGCCAAGCCCCGCCCCATGCCCACAGCACCCCTGCCTTTCTGTCCCTCCCCTTGGCTGAGGACTGCAGTCCCCTTAGGATACCACAGGTCCAAATGCTGAAGCTGATCCAACTTCCTCCATAGCTCCTTCCCAGGGCACTCCCCTCCCCAGCTGGGCATGGACAGGAGGGCACTGCAGGTCTGGTAGGGACACCTTTCCCTATCTTTTGCTGATCTTGAAGCCCTAAACCACACCCTTCTGGGAACAGAGGCTAGACTAGGTAGGAACCCAGGATGGTCCTCTGAGGACCCTACCCCATGAGAAGGGGTTGCATGGCGACCTCTGAGGCTGGGTGGCTAGGTGGCATGCAGCAGGTCCTGACTCCCCTGGAGAGCGTCGACCTCAAGGGAGGCCGGGTTTGATTTTTTGGCAGGAGGTGAGCTGCGATACAGGACGGGGATCTAGAGCTGCTCTGGGGGGCACCAGCGCCTGTTCCCTGCAGAGCCCGAGCAACCTTTCCCTTAAATGACCCCTTGCTCACTCTCAGGGGTCTGGAATCCAGCCAGAGAGAATCCAGGAGCATGTGTCCTGCTGGGTGTTGCTATGGGGAGGGGAGGGAGGGAAGCCAGCGTTCTCCTGACCGCCTGGAGGTCACCCTAGCACGCGGCTCCGGGGCTGAGGGCTGCTGTGTATGGAAGCCTCCTGAGCTAGTAGGCATTCCTTAGACTCTGGGGGCTCTGAGTTTGTCACCAGGACTTGAGCCCTCACTGCTTTGCCTGGACGGTCTGTCTTAGGTAGACCTGGGCTACCAGGCGGCCCCACTCCCAGCCCTGCTCACACAGTGGCTGTGCCAGGGCTCTGCTAGTCAGCCTCCTCATCACAGCGGCCATGGGGTTCACAGCTGAAGGTTCCAGAAGGTGCTGTCCCCTATGCCCCAGGAGGGCCCTGTGGGCCTCCACTGGAGGTGACCTCTACAGGAACTTCCTCTAGAGGAAAGAGCCACTATCCTGTAGGAGACGAGATGTAGGACTCAGGGACCAGGGCTGGTAGCCATGGGTGGCTGAACGCTCGGCAAACCCAGTTTGACTCATGCTGGCTACAAGAACGGGTGACCGTCCTCCCCCACCCTCACCATGCAGATGACCATCAGGAAGGCTTTTTACCTATGAGAGAGAGAAAAGTGGACCTGGTCCCCTAGCCCCCAAAGAAACTGTCTCTCACCATTCCAGGTGCAGACAGAGCCCCCAACAGGACTCAGCATTGGAGCTGCTAGCAGTGGCTTCCAGAATGTGTGTGGGTCCCACGTGACCATCCGTAAGGAGAAGGAAAGGGGTGTCGCCATGGCAACCCTTGCATTCAGCCCAGAGTTTGCCATGGCACACAAAAATAGGGACTGTTTTCTTAAAGAACTCGTGTTCCACCTGATGGCAGCCTGGCTCCTTGTGTCCCCTATCCTGCCGGGAGGGGACACTGCCCTCCAAGAATCTGGGTGGTTCCTCTGCCTTTTCCTCTTGTGTTTGGACTTGTTCTTCCATTTACTCAGGAGAAAAGGAGCCACCCGGAAGCTGGTGGCAGCATCCCCTCCCCCACCTCTCCCCTGCACCCTGCCTCCCAGAGCAAGAATCCCTAAATCCAGGCAAAAAGGCAAAAATATCATCTGGAAGGAAAAAAAAATATTTTAAGCCTCCAATCTTGAAAAGCATCTGTTTGCCTGGTGAGAAGTTCTCCTGGCAGAACATGTGAACTTGAGTGAGCTGAGGTGGAGATGTGGTCTCAGGCACGCCCAGGGGCCGCAAAGGTTCCTGGGTATTGCATGGCAGAGACCAAGTGGTGTGTGAGGGGTCGTCTTCCTCTTTACCTGCTCCTGTCTCCAATGTCCCATGGCGAATGCTATCTCCTTGTCCAAAGCACCTCATGGAAGATGGGCAGCTCGTTTTGACAGGCGCACTCCTCCCAGTGCCCCTCCCCTGGATCACGGTGTGGTATGCTTCCCCTGAGAGCCCGGAGAAGAGAAGGTCCTCTTATTCCAAATGCCTCCTGCTGGGCACAAGGCAGACTCAGGTCATAAGTCAAGGAGAATTTTGCACATTGTTCTTAACCTGAGCTAGAGGCCTCCCTGGGGTCATATGAGGACACAGCCAGAGGGTGGCCATGAGGCCCTCGAGGGCACTCCCTGGGCTGGGCTGGCCTGGCACTGTGCGGCTGCTTGCCTGGGAGGGCTCCTCTTGGGCTGATGTCTGGCTCACCAACCTCAGAGGCTGCTGAGCACCGCTCCTCCCGACCACAGCCCTCCAACCACACTGGGTCCCCCTACCGCAGGGTTGCTGTGCAGGCTCTGGTACTCGTGTTGCCATTGCCCTGCCCCCTGAGATGCCCCCTGAGAGGGTCTGGACCCTCCTGCCAGGGGAGTCCTTTAAGTACGAGGCCAAGGTGTGGCAGACGAACTGAGATTATGCTTCTAGACTCGGGCTGCGTGATCCGCCTTCCCTGGAGAACATCTTCTGAAACAACCCCAGATCAGAAGGTTTCATGGGCCTCTTCGGCGATGCCCACAGGGCTGAGCCTTGCCATAGCCATCTCCCTCTCCACCGAGGGCTCAGCTCACCGCCAGGGAAGAGTCCGTCAGAAATAGAGGAGAATCATGATCCCGCAGCTGGGGTTTCAATTTCAATTATTTATAGTGATGGCAAAAGAGCGGTGGACCTGGTGCCCTTCACAGCCTGTCCCCAGGATAATTTAGGTGTCAGAACTGCTCAGCGTCACTCCATATTTACTTTGACCAAGTCACTCAGGGGACTGTCCTCGGCCACATGGCCTTGCCACGACAGTTGGTTTGGAGGAGCAAGGCCAGTGTACCAGCCAGCTAAGCACTTTCCCTAATGTCCTGTGCTCTTTGCTGATGCACATAGTCATTTTAACAGGGATGGTTTCGCCTTGATATTGGTTTAGGTTCCTCTTTGCATGGTCTCAAGGGACGTGGAAAAAAAGTCTTTGAGGCAAAATTGTCGTGGTTCATTATGCCACCAAGAATCAGGTGTATGCAGTCTCAGGAAGACCGTCCTCCGTTCCTGGACACCTGTGTGGTCCCCTGCACCTGCCCCTATGCTGGGTGACAGGCTGGCTTTCAAACCAGGCTTTTGACACTCTCCACAGTTGTTCAGGTGCAAAGGGGGTTGAGACTGGTATTGTCCAGGGGTGGGAAAAGCAGGCTGAGGAAGGAACATTCTGGGAATGTGAAATTCAGTTGCGGTGCCACCCCCTCCCTGGGCCGAGAGAAGGGTTTTGAGGGCTCAGATGCTCTGAGCATTGTCCCTGAGTTCCTGGCCTACTTTGAGAACATATGGGGGATAGAGTGCCGTGCGGCTGCCCATCAGCCTGATCCAAATGACATGCCCTGTGCGTTCAAGAGGAGGCTGGTGGTTCACCTTGCTGGGGAGGTCGCAGGCACCTGCCAAGCTCAGAACATGTCTGCCTGGGCTCTGGACCCACTGGACGGTGGCCAGGAAAGC